AAAAGGGAGGTGGATGGGAGAGTCCAAGGGCCAAAGCCTCACGAGGTCAGCCTCCCAGTGGAGGCCCCTCTGGAATGCGTGGGTGCGCGTGGGTGAGTGCTCGTGCACACATGTGCTCTCCCATTGAATTTCCTGGTTTCTTTTCAACAGACTCCCGCCCTCCCACCTATGATGTACCCCCACCCCGCCTATGTAAGTGGCTTCTCAGGGAGGGCGGAGGTTCTGTTTGTGGTGGGCAGGCTGGGGGTGAAGAGCCGCTGCAGGGGTATCCACTGGCCTTGCAAAATGAAAAGCGGTCCTTTGGTAAGCTGAAGGGCTTCAAAGCATCCCAGTGAAGTAGAAGACTGTGGAGAGGAGTTTTCAACCTTAAAACTGTCATGTCAATGTGAGCACATTGCATGGCCCTCCCTTTTCACCCCACGAGTCTTGTTGTGTTTGGCCAAAGTTCCTTTCGTGACACTAATCTAAGCCCATGAATTTGAGGAGCACTGGAAAGTTTTCCTTTGGCTTTTACGGAACCAAGTAAAGCTGTCACGGGCTTCTTCTCAGCTGACAGCCCAGATTCATGGGAACTGGTACAGTCCTCCCCTTCCGTGTGGCAGCTGCCCTGGCTGCCACTGGCTGCTCTGTCCCCCTTCTTCCCACAGCCAATGCCTTTTGTCACCACCATTCCGGGAGGACTGTATCCATCCAAGTCCATCACCCTGTCGGGCACTGTCCTGCCCAGTGCTCAGAGGTAAGGCAAGGGCTCCAGTGACCTCTGGGAAGAGAGAGCCCTTCAAGGTCATTCCAGCCATTCCCCTGGCTTCGGGCAGGCTGCAGATGACGGGGAGGAAATGGGGCTCAGAACTCAGAGGACAAAGCTTCAGGTGGGCCGCCCACCCCAGGTTCCACATCAACCTGTGCTCTGGGAGCCACATCGCCTTCCACCTGAACCCCCGTTTTGATGAGAACGCTGTGGTCCGCAACACCCAGATCAACAACTGTTGGGGGTCTGAGGAGCGAAGTCTGCCCCGAAAAATGCCCTTCGTCCGAGGCCAGAGCTTCTCGGTGAGGCACCGCAGTCTGGAGCTCGGAGAGGCTCCTGTGGGTGCACAGGGAGAGGGGGAGGGGTAAAGAGGTCTGGGGTGCCTTGAACAGGATGGGGGCAGATGCCTCTGGGATGAGGACCCAGAAGAAGAGAAGGTGGCCAACAAATTATTATTATTATCATTATTTTCCTGCACGAAGGAAGTGTTGGGATCTGCTTTTTCAGATGAGGAAAGAAACTCACAAGTGCAGGTTACTTGCTTGCGGTCACACAGCCAGTAAGTGTCAAATCAGATCCAAGAAGGAGGTGTTTTTCATTTCTTCACTTATTCAACAACCATTTTCTTGTCGCCCGCTTTGTGCAGGAAGCAGCCCGCGTGCTGGGGACGCAGTCATGAAGCAGGCAGACCGGGTCCTGCCTCCAGGGGGTTTACAGTTTAGGTGGGGAAGGAACAAGGAAAGTAAAGCATGGACAGATTGTCACAGATAACGACAGTGCCACGCACAAAGCAAAACAGAGCGATGAGATAGAGCGAGCCTGGGAGGGGCAGCGAGGGCCAACGTGCAGAGGCACGGGTGTGGCCTGTCCAGGAACAGCAGGCAGGCGTGCTCCGCCCTGACTACACATTCAAACCACCCAGGGAGCTTACAAAGGAAATATCAGCGCTGGGGCCCCAGCCCAGGCCAGCGAGGCGGTCAGCTGGGCATTCGCATTTTAAAAATATGCCTTAAGTGATTATACTCTGCAATCAGGGTTGAAAACGGCTGATGTAGGGCTTTGCAGCCATGGAAAGGAGCTTGGATTTTAACACAGTGAAAAGCCACAAAGGAGTGTTTCAAGCCAGGGAGCAACATTCTTTGATTTGTGGACAGCTGTGTGACCTCGGGCAAGTGACTTAACTACTCTGTGCTTCACTTTCCTCATCTACAAAATGGAGTTGATAATCATATGAGTCTCCTAGAGTTGTAAGAATGGAATGAGACAGTATCTGTAGCATGCGTAGGACAGTGCCTGGCACATGGCGTGTGTGATAGGAGTGTTAGCTATTGCGAAGGGAAGGAGGTTTTAACATTTGTACGCTGACTGCCTCATGGAGAAGGCATTGGGGTGGAAAAGACAAGTTAGGAGGCTGATGCTGCAGGAGCCCAGGCCCGGAGCACTCCTGTGTGCTGGGCCTGAGGGATGCAGACAGCACAGGCCAGTTCTCCCGTCCCTGATGGGGTGGGAACAGTATTGTAGGCCAGGGAACAGTACAAGGGAAGGAGCACGCACAGCCTGTTTAGTGAAGCGTCGTCACTCAGTGGGGATGGAGCGCAGGTGAGGGGCTTATTAACGTCTGAGGAGGGAAGGAGGGAGGGAGGGAAGGAGGGAGGGAGACAGGGGACTGCAGTGTGAGTGGAGGACTTCCCAGGTGTAGTGCAAACGGCATGATCTCTGCACAGGTGTGGATCTTGTGTGATGCGCACTGCCTCAAGGTGGCCGTGGATGGTCAGCACCTGTTTGAATATTACCATCGCCTGAGGAACCTGCCGGCCATCAACAAACTGGAAGTGGGGGGCGACATCCAGCTGACCCACGTGCAGACATAGGCCGCTCCCTGGCCCTGGGGCCGGGGCTGGGGTGGGGGGCAGTCTGGGTCTTCTCATCATCCCCATGTCCCAGGCCCAGCCTTTCCAACCCTCCCTGGGATCTGGGCTTTAATGCAGAGGCCATGCCCTTGTCTGGTCCTACTTCTGGCTACAGCCACCCTGGAACGGAGAAGGCAGCTGACCGGGATTGCCTTCCTCAGCCGCAGCAGCACCTGGGGCTCCAGCTGCCCAAATCCTACCATCCCAGGAGGCGGGCACAGCCAGGGAGAGGGAGGAGTGGGCAGTGAAGATGAAGGCCCATGCTCAGTCCCCTCCCATCCCCCACGCGGCTCCACCCCAGTCCCAAGCCACTAGCTGTCTACTCCTGGTGGGAGGTGGCCTCCTCAGCCCCTCCTCTCTGACCTTTAACCTCACTCTCACCTTGCACCCTGCACCAACCCTTCACCCCCTCCTGGAAAGCAGGCCTGATGGCATCCCACTGGCCTCCACCAACTGACCGGAGTTCAGGGGACTGGACTCTTCAGGGGACTAGCTCCTTTCCCAGTGTCCTTAAAATAAAGAAATGAAAATGCTTGTTGGCACATTCATGTGGGTTGACCGTGGCTGCTTTAATTCATTTGGAGACATTTTGGAGTCTGTGGAATCAGGCAGGGGTGCTGCTGAGAGGAGTGGGACGGGAGAGCATGGACTCCCTTTGGGCAGGGGGTCCTGACCTCCCACCTCCTCCCAGAGGGTGTTGGAGAAAGCAGGCTGGGCTCTAGCCTTTTGGGCAGGAGTCTCGGACACAGGAAAGGTGGTCATGGGGGATCCCAGGAAACAGCCCCAGGCCTCCAAGATGGGAGAGAGGCTGGGGCAGAGCCTGTGAGGGCCACAGCAGGGCCAGAGCTGGCTCCTCAGACCTGGCGTCCCAGTGGGAGGAGGTGGCTTGGGGAAGGGGTGTCAGGAGAAGCCGATCCAAAGCACCGTCTGGGTGTGTGTTCCACTGTGGGTCTCCCTGGCATTAGGGGTTAGGGCTTGTGTGGGAAAAGTGGTTCTGTGTCCATGTGTGGGGTTCTGCCAGCCACTGGGCCACCGCCAGACAACCCAGCTCCATGTCCATGTGATGCCAACACATCCTGCTCGGCCCAGCAAGAATTCAGTTCCTCAGGCCCCAGTGTAGTCTTCGGAGCGGTGGCACCAGCAGCAACTGGGAGCTTGTTGGAAACGCGGCATCCTGAGCACCCCCGCCCCCTCCACACACACCTACCTAAGAGATCAGAGTCTTCATTTTCACAACACCCCAGGGTGTCGTGTGAAGCTCACCTCAGGCAGATCACCTGAGGTCAGGAGTTCGCGACCAGACTGGCTAACGTGACAAAACCCTGTCTCTAGTAAAAATAAAAAATAAAAAAAATTAGCCGGACGTGGTGGCAGGCACCTGTAATCCCAGCTACTCAGGAAGCTGAGGCTGGAGAATTGCTTGAACCCAGGAGGCAGATGTTGCATTGAGCCAATAGATAATGCGCCATTGCACTCCAGCCTGAGTGACAAGGGCGAAACTCTGTCTCAAAATTAAAACAAAACAAAACAAAACACAGCACAACAACAACAAAAAAACAAACCTGGGAAGCCCTGGTACAGGAGTGGACTCCTGGCCGTGTTGCTGAGATGCACAGCTGTTGCGCAGGGCACAGAGCTTTTCTAGAGTCTGAGGTTGGTAATGCACCTTCTCCTGCCACCTGAAACTCTGCTGCTAGAAATGGGAGGGAAGAGAGAGGGGCAAAGTCGGCCAGGGCGGCCAGGAGGCAGACACCAAACCCGAGCTGGGAGCCATGTGTTGCCAGGACCCCAGTGGCCCCTGCTGAGCTCCTTCATTGGTTCTGACCAGGACAAGGAAATGGGGCTCAGTCTCTTAAGAAGTCTTCCTTGGCTAGCTCCAAACCCAGGAGGGTCCCCAGTCCCTTGGAAGAGGATGCAGTGGCTCACACTTGCCTGGACATGCTGCCTTCCCAGGGGTCACATCCATATGAGACAAATTCACATGGGACAGGTGGCCCCAGAGCAAAACGCTTTCTAAGGAAGTATCTAAGAAGAAGCTCAAGGCCTTCCCTGAAGCGCTGGCCTCACGCGAGAATCCCGCCCTCGCCAGACCCGGTGTCAAATCCTTCATGTGGGAGACAGGTCTGTGCCCCATGCCCTACCACAGGTATTTGGACAAGCACGAAGCTCCATCTGCTGCTGTCACACCTGGCAGCCATTTCAGAGGAGCCATGGCCTGCCTGGGGTGTCCCTCTATGGGGGATCTGTTCAGGCTGTGACATCCACCACCTCCCCACTCTATATAACTCAGGGCCACGTTCCCTACAAAACATCCCACCCCCCCCCACACACATACAGTGTGATTAAAGTAAAATTCCATCATATAAATATCTCCATCAAGGAACCATACAGGGAAGGCCCAAGTAGCCGTTGGGAACAGACTAGGGTGTTAGTTTTTTAAACAGAGGCATAAGTAACTGTACACAAGGCAGTTAAACACACAGTGCCGCAACAGCACCACCTGGTGGTCACTTGAAGTGGTGCACTCAGCAGCGGGTTCCATCTTTCACCCACTTGCCAGGTCTAGCACTGAAGATTTCGTCTCCAAGGGACCAGGGAGGCCCCAGCTTGAGACAGGAGGCTCCGATCAATCCAGGGTGCTACTTGGTAGGAGGTCAAGTAAAGGGCTTGATGGGGAACGAAGTGAAAAAATAAGATGTGAGGCTAGGGGATAACACTTTCCTCCATCTCCCCAGGCCCTGTGACCTCAGATAATGCAGAGCTGGCTCCTTGGTTAAGTTCTGTGCCGGCAGTTTTAACCCCTCCTGTGGGCCGTCAGAGGCCCACATCTGCAGGCTCCAGGGCTGCGCTGCCGCCTTGTCCGCTTGTAGGTAAATACAGCACCAAAGGTATCTTCATGAAAGCACTTCCGGCTCTCAGGTGGAAACAGAGACCAACGTGTCAAGTCCAGGCTGGGATGAGCCCCTGGGGCTGCCCAGCTTCCCTGTCACGTGGACCTTCATGAGCCATCTGTCTTCCCAACTGTCATACTTAGATTGTGCTGGAATCTGGTTTAGAGCCTAACCCCGCTCAGCACCTGCTCTGGAGCCGGCCCTCTAACCATCTCCAAAGCTTTACTTGGCATTCCCATGTCCTGCCCAGCGCTCACCCCCCACCCAAGAAGTGTGAACTCCAGGAAGTGTGAGCTCCGAGATAAATACGTTTGGGAAACGCTGTGTCCTTGCTTTGCTCCCAGCCTTGAAGGGTCCCGACGCACAGCAGCAGGTTGAAGCCTCCCAGAAGCCTTGTAGTAAAGCAACGTGCTTGCCTTGGCTTAACTAAGCCTGTCCCAGGCTATTCGACCTTGGAACCTTTTTGATGCCAAATATCTACTGACCCATTCAACCCATTTGGGGAAATGCCTGTTATCTCCTCACTGTCCTTCCAACACGCCAGCTCAACTCCCACCCCCGGGCCTTTGTACCTGCTGCCCCTCCAGAGCAGCCCCGAGTGTTTCCTTCAGTATCCACGGGGCTCCTCCTCGCTATCTCGGGTTTATTCTCAGACACCGCCTTCCAGCTCTGCCTTCCCTGGCCGCCCTATTTATAATTACACTCCCCAGCGTTTCCTGGGCTGTTTCCTGCTGTTTTTCTCTGAAGCACTACACCTCTTTCTTTTGGGTTTGTCAGCCCCAGAAGAATGTAAAGAATTTTTGCCTGATTCATTTACTGGTCTCTCCCTAGCACATAGTAGGTGCTCAATAAATGTTCAGTTGAACATATGAATGTGTCTTAGGGAGAGTATGGAAGTGACAGTCACAGGCTTTGGAACCACAGAGAGGCAGACTGAACTCTAGGCTCTCACTGCTGTGGACCCCGTAGGCCTCCTTCCCTCTGTAAAACAGGGTGCCTCCCTCATAAAGTCCTCGACAGGACTGAATGAAATGCCACATGAAAATCCCTGGCAAGCACTTGGCCCCGTGGAAACCCTTGATAAATATCACTATTATCTTCATCAGTGAAATGCAAGCCCTTGCTGCCGCGGGGATGAGGGTGAGCAGACACCGGCCTGGGTGTGAATAAGAAGTGTGAGGTTCACACGAGGCTGACGGGGGGCAGCCTTGCTCTCCCCTGTGTTCACAGCCTTGCTTTGGCCACACAGATACTTTCTGAAAGGGGGTTTGGGGAGAGGCCAAGGAGACTCTCCTGCCCCCATTCCACAGACGGCAAAATGGAACCCATTCACCCGACTTCCCAAAGCTGCGACCAGTCCGGGATGTGCAGCGGGGCCTTCTGACAGCCCACCCAGCTCAGATCTCAGCCACTGCTAAGATTCTCTTGGGGTCCAGAACTTTTCTGGGCCTGACTCCCCTGGGTCTACCTGCCACCCCTGGTCCTGGCTCCAGTGGCCTGTGCCTTGGCCAACACCCTCAGCCCACACACCCACTACTATACCTTGAGCTGAAAGAAATAGTCCTCGACCTGCTCCTCACTCAAGTTCAGCTTGGCAGCCACCAGCTGCTTCAGGGTGTGGGCGACATCCCAGGCCATGCGCACATCCCCACAAACATAGAGGTGGCCCGGCTCCTCATGGAGCACACGGAGCACCTCGCTGGCCAGCTGCTGCCGCAGGATGTCCTGAACATAGACCTGAAACCAGAGGAAGTGGTGGGTCCGGTCCCCAGCTGCTGGGGACAAGGCTTGCAGACAGGCCTGCTGGCCTCAGGGAGGCGGGGAGAGGGCACTCAGGGGTGCGGAGTGAGTCCCCTCCCAGCCAGGACCTTGCACGGGGCCAGGTTCAGGATGAGGAGGAGCACAGATGCCCCGGGGGTTGGGCTGGGAGTAGAGAGATAAATGCTGGACACAGTCCTGTCCTCGAGGAGCTGACCATGCAGTGGGGCTCCCAGACTGTCCCTGAATTTGCCATGCTTCAAAGAGGCATCAATAAAGGCAGTCCCCCCGCCCAGGGCTCTGCCTACACCCCAGAAAAAGGAGCCTCTCAATGCAGACTGTCCATCAGGTCTCTGCAGGGTACGGATCCCGGGCTTCCCAGTGAGAAGGTCCAGGAGTCAGTTGGGGACTCTCTCCTCCTACTCCACACGGGCTGCCCACTGGCCCCAGCATTGGGCACAGAGCACTGGACCCGAGAGGTGCCCTGATGGGACAAATGTGTGAGGGCTGAGAGTCTGTTCTGACACCCCAGGCTTAGGAGACAAAGAGGCCCTGGGGGCAGCAAAGCCCGTCTGAGGGACGTGGTGGAAGCATCGGCCGCCCTCCAGCCTTTCTGGGCTTGAGCATAGCCAGCCTGGATCACCTCTCCCCGGGCAGTTGTGTGTCCCGGGGGCCTGCTGGGGACTTCAGCAGACTGGGCTCTGGGGTTAACTCGCGTGTGACCTAGGTTAGTCCTGGACCTCTCCGGGCCTGTTGCTTATGCTGTATGACAGGGCGTAACGCTCTTCACAGCATCACTCTGATGGTTGTGAACTACCTGCATTTTAGAGCTCAGGAGCTGAAGGCTCAGTGAGGCGAGAGGCCCTTGTGGACCCAGGGCTCACCCTGGAGCCTGTGCGAGTAATGCTTCACCTGCTTTTAGGCTGCATTTACCTTGGGCTTGCCAGGCAGGCGGGAATAGACGTGTGCACCGCATGCAGCACCCGCTTCCGGGTCATCTCCAGCATCTCCTCGCGGTAGGTGGCGGTCCTCACCTGGGCGGCAGCACCAGAAGACCAGGGTCCTGCGGCCTCCCGGCACTACTACCAGGAGTCCCGGGTTGTTGTTACCAAGTTGGCCACCAGAGGGCGCCAGAGCGTCAAGTCCAACTGGAATTCTCACTTCACTCCCACAAGTATCCTAGCTAATTAATAGCATTAGCCCCATTTTACAGATGAGGAAACTGAGGGCCAAGGCATTCAGATCACTCATCCATAGTCACACAACTGAAAGTGCGGATGTAGAATTCCCTCAGCCTATCAGAGGTCAAAAGCAGGGACTTTCCCGTTACCTCCACTCCCGGGAGAGGGAGCCCCGGCTCCAATGCTGGAGACCGGACGGTGGCCGCTCTCACCCACAGAGGCCCGCACAGGGAGGCAAACTTGGGAGTCCTTCCCTTCAGAGACGTACAGGAACCGTTTGTGGGGCTGCAGTTCTGCTTCTAGGCAGGCACTGCCGCCTGGTGCCCCTCCCACCTGGGAAGCCTCCAGCCTTACCCTTGTGCTGGGAGTCATGGAGCCGCTGCTGCCAGAAACTGCGGAAGGGGGCGATGTCTGTGCCAGGCCCGACGAGGATGCAAGGATGGGAGGGGTCCTCGGGGAGCTGAAGAGGACAGGAGAAGAGGGGGCCAGCCCTCAGACGCTCCGGGCCCACACACACACTGGGTGGCTGGGGAGCTGGGCCTGTGGGGGGCGGTCGTGAGGGGTTGGAGAGGACAAGCAGCTGCTATTTGATTTCCCACGTCCTGCAGGCTGCTTCACCTCTGTCCAGCCACCAGCACCTCCCCCAGGTCCTTCTGAAAAAGGGCCAAGCTCACTGGACTCTGGACCCCTCCAGCACTGCTGTCATCGTTGTCCCTGCTAGAGACAGCCACAGCGGTGTGACCCCAGTGTCTTCTTTATGAGCCAAGGGGCCCCGAGGGACACCAAAACCTCAGATCCCTCCCTTTCCTCCCGGAATCCCCAGGGATCGGCGGCCCCACAGGGGACAGAGCGGAAGCGGTGCTTACTTTCGTATAAAGCAGGGCATTGGGTCTCGGGGCTTCAGGCTGTTGAGCCATGTGCTGCAGACGCCGTGGTGCAGGGGACCCTGGCCATCCGCAACGATAACACAAAGTGACCAACGTCCCCCACTGCCCATGCGCAAACTGTACCAGCTGCTCCGCCCACACCACGGCCTCCTTGGACGCCCCCACTCAGGCACTCTCAGGACTCAATGAGCAGCTGTTTGTCCTCCTGGTTCTGAGCGCCACCCTCTGAGAGCGCAGAGCTGAGGAAGGTTGAAAGGGAGTTAGAGAGGCTGCAAGCTGCTCCTTCTGCCAATGCGGAAACCGAGTCCCGGAGAGGAAAAGTGACTTGGACAAGGTCACTCAGGTCGTGGCGGAATCAGGTGGACAGCTCAGGTTCCCTGACTCCTACTCCAGTGCTCCTTCCAAAGACTTTCTCCAGGAACACCCCCAGCTCACCTCTGAGCTCCACTGACAGCAGCATGAAGTGACCCCTCGGGGTGGCCACTGCTGTGTGCGCTCATGAGCGTGGCCCTTGCTGGCAGCAACCCTGGGTGGTGGATGAGCTCCGTGCATTTCAGCCTGCTCTGGGCCTCGCTTTCCTCCTCAGTGGCCCCTCCTGGGCTTGTAGAAACCCAGGAGGTCTCTCTGGGTTCTGTTCCCCTTACAGTGGCCCAGCACTTGAAGGAGGCCTCCCACCAACTGCAGAGGTCCCCCTGGTTTTCCTCGGGATTGAATCTTGCTCTCACAGGACATGTCGGCCTCTCCTCTCCTGGTCTGAGTGGGTGTTCTCTAGCAGGGCAAACAGTCTCTGGCCAGTTTTTATAAACTGTGTTTTTGCTTCCTAGAGGACAGATGACTCAGAAGTGTGGGCAGCTCCCAACTTTGCCAACCCAGGCAACTCTCAGTTACAGAGGGCAGGGCAGGGGGCAGAGGCCAGTGGTGGAGCCGAGACCACCTGGACAAGACCACGTGGCCTCCTGCTCTGTGGCAGCATAAACCGGTCCCCTGCCACCCCGGCCCACTTCACTTCCCTCGGTGACCCTGACCTTTCCTTCTTGGCTTCAGCACAATGAGAATCATGTAATTATTTCTATGCCTATCTCTCCACTGCTGCCTCTAGATGCTCCCTGAGGGCAGGGCTGATGTCTTCTGTATTTCCCCACCCACCCTGGTACTGAGCATGGGAGGTTTGAAATAAACCATCACTAAATGAGCTCAGTGAGGGAATGAACAATCAATGCAGAATCTCCCCTGCGTTCAGGCTGCACGATCAGGAAGACTGAGGACCACTGGCCTCCCACCAAGGGTTGGGTGCTCTCCACGTCTGATCTCATTAAATTGTCCCGAGTAGTGGGACAGTGGAGTGGTGAAGGCTTGGACTCAGCAGTTGGACTACGCAGGTCCGAATCTCAGCTCTCCACTTACTAACAGTGTGACTTTCTGTGCCACCTGTAAAATGCACACAGTGCCTACCCCACATGGTAACTGATCATATACACACAGAAGGCTTGGTTTAGTGCCTGGTTCCTAGAGATCTCTCCCACACGCCTCCTATTACCATAAACAACTCTGGGGTGTGGGTGTTGCCTCCCTCCTTGAACTGATGAGGGAGCTGAAGCTGAGTTGATGAACACATGCCCAATAAGAGGGGGAGCACGAATGCTCCAGAGCCTCCTTCCTGGGCTCTCCTCGGGTGTGGGACATCACCACAGCCACAGTCAGGTGGATCTTTGTGGGCGTGTGATCCAGGGAGGAGCTCATGGAGTAGAACCTGGGCTTCAGAATGGGGAGCCGGGAGAGCAGGAAGCCAGTAGACACCCACAGGGATGGGAACTCCTCCAGCACCTCCAGGAACGTGGGGCTATTGGTGAACTTCCACTTGGTGTACTCTGAGAGCAAGTGGAGGGTGACGTGAGTGACTCAGGGAGCCTGCCCCGCTTTGGGGAAAAGGCTGACACAACCCAGTATTCATTCATTCCTCCACTCACTCAACAAACAAGTCCATGTGCCAGGCACTGTCCAGGGTGCTGAGACTACCAAGCTTGAGAAGAAATAGTTCCTGTCCTGGAGGAACTCAGTCCAGTACATTTATCTAACTTATGTGACCTCCACTATCGGCAACTCGTGGACAGGGGTCAAATTTTTGTTGCAACTTAATTTGGGGCAAGGCTTTGGAACCAATCAGACCTAGGTTTAAACCTTGGCTAGGTGTCCTCACTGCTATGGAATCTCGTCCCAATTACTTATGCTTTGTGAAACAAGGATAGCATTGCCTGCCTTGTGGGGATGTTATGGGAATTAAATGAGAAAGTATGTGCCAAGTTAGTACATTGCAGCCACAAAATAATGGTGGTGGAGGTAGTTGGAATCGATATAATTAGCTATAATGATGATGATAATAATGACAACCAGTGCCTTTTGCAGACTTGGAACCAGACGGTTGCAGGTGAGTTAATGCATTCTCTCATTAACTTATTAATTCAGCTGTCTGTCACTCTGTCCATAATGCCCATTTATCCATTCATCCACACCATCCATCCCCCAATACATCTTAAGTGACAAATTTATTCCAGTTTTGGGGAAAGCAAAGATGGATAAGAACGGCTCCCCTTTCTAGCTAATATTCAAGGCAGTGCACTTGGGTTGCATCCTGCAGACACTTGGAAAAACCCAGTTCATTCAACATAGTTGTGTTGTGTTACATGGGACAGTGGATGATGCCTGGCTTCCCACCAGCCTTTGACAGGTCTCACTTTGGGAACCTGGGTGGATCCCTCTTGGGAGTTAAAGACCAGCTCTGGGCTCTGGCTCCCCACATGCTGGGACCCTCCACATATCCCCTGCCCACCAGCCCTGATCTTCACCTGGCACACGGCCTCCAGCCTGTGTCTCTCAGGCTCTTCTATGGCCACCTGGGCCAACTTTTGGAGCAGCAGCTGGGCTGGGGGGTGGTGATATCCAGGAAGTAGGTGAGGACTTGGCTGAGTGAGCAGCGGGGCAGCCTCTTGTCACTGAACCGGTAGCTGTCTGGACGGGGAAGGAAGATGTCAGGATGGAAAAGGGGCCCCATTTGGGATTCTCAGAAGGTAGCCAGGCCCCCAGGGCAGACACCCCCTATTCTCCAGCTGCAGGGGAAAAGAGGCTCTGAAGTCCTGGCTCTATGAGCAAAAGGCAGGAAGGAGGTGGCGCACAGAGAAAGGATTGCCAGGAAAGGCTGATCACCAGCCCCCCAAGGGGCACTAAGTTGGCGTGGTCCTGATGAACTAACCATGTCCTTCCCTGGCCCAGACCTGAACTTTAGCAAGACACCCATTGGCGATCTACAGACTCACAATGAGTAAATCCACCAAAGACTAATGGATACCTCACAGGCCAGTTGTTCACTCAGAGAAAAGCCCATGACTGCAGTCCCCTGGGTGCTGTACCAAGAGGTGCTGGGTGAGCAGAAGATGAGCCCAAAGGCAAGTCCCAGGGGGTAGCATGCAGAGCAGTCACAGCACAGACCCTGGGGCCAGAAGACATGGGTTCAAACCCTGGCTCCCCACTTTCGAGGTGACTGAAGCCTCTGGGCCTTGGGTTCCCTCCGTGTGAAACACATCTGATACCAAAACCTATCTTGCTGGGTTGGCATGAGCGCTGAATGAAATCATGCATATAATAGTTGGTGCTGTGGCCAGGTGTGGTAGCTCACACCTGTAATCCCAGCACTTTGGGAGGCTAAGGTGGGTGGATCACAAGGTCAGGCATTCAGGACCAGCCTGGTTGACATAGGAAACCTCGTCTCTAATAATAATACAAAAATTAGGTGGGTGTGGTGGTGGGCACCTATAATCCCAGCTACTCCGGAGGCTGAGGCAGGATAATCGCTTGAACCTGGAAGGCAGAAGTTGCAGTGAGCCGAGATCATGCCACTGCACTCCAGCTTGGGCGACAGTGCAAGACTATGTCCAAAAAAAAAACAGTTGGTGCTGTGCCTGGTAAACAGGCTCCCTAAATATTAAGTAAAAATATGAGCATGACGTTATTTCCATTCGACCAGGGTCCTGATGAACCACATCCATCACCCTGCAGTCACAAGGACATGTCTCCTCGTCCTCACTTTCTCCTGGATGGTGGGGACACTGCCAGGCTCTGCCTCTCTGATCCCACTTTTTTTTTTTTTTTTTTTTTTGAGACAGAGTCTCGCTCTGCCGCCCAGGCTGGAGTGCAGTGGCGTGATCTTGGCTCACTGCAAGCTCCGCCTCCCGGGTTCACGCCATTCTCCTGCCTCAGCCTCCCGAGTAGCTGGGACTACAGGCGCCCGCCACCTCGCCCGGCTAGTTTTTTTGTATTTTTTAGTAGAGACGGGGTTTCACTGTGTCAGCCAGGATGGTCTCGATCTCCTGACCTCGTGAACCGCCCGTCTCGGCCTCCCAAAGTGCTGGGATTACAGGCTTGAGCCATGATCCCACTTTTTAAAAATTTTTTTGAGATGGAGTCTCTGTCACCCAGGCTGGAGTGCAGTGGGGCAATCTCAGCTCATTGCAACCTCCTCCTCCCAGATTCAAGTGATTCTTGTGCCTCAGCCTCCCAAGGGGCTGGGATTACAGGTGTGCACCACCATGCCCAACTAATTTATTTTTTATTTTTAGTAAAGATGGGGTTTTGCCCTGTTGGCCAGGCTGCTCTCAAACTCTTGACCTCAAGTGATCCACCAGTTTTGGCTTCCCAAAGTACTGGGAATACAGGCGTGAGCCACCACGCCTGGCTGATGCCACTTTCTGACTTTGGTCACTGCATTGAGGGAGATACACTGGCGGTGTCATTATCACTGGAGAAAGTAAGGCCAGGGAGCCATGCCTGTGCCTGGGACTGTTTCCACAGCTGCTTTCACATAAGATTTTGGCAGCCCACCCTCTCAGCAGGAAGGACAGGGATGGTTGTCACCGGCAGGCCCAGGCCTAGCCCCTCAGTCAGGTGGGGTGGCTGAAGGATGCCAGGCAGCACTGGCTCCCCGGCCCAGGGCTCACTGCTCTCGTCCAGGGCCTCCAGGCGCACTGTCTGGTGGGGTGCGGGGCTGTCCACCACTTGCTCCAGGATGCCTTGGACCAGGGCCGGCTGGTTGCCTGGACAAACCCCAAGGTGCTTCCCTGGCAGGTAGTTCAGACCTTGGCCCTCCTCACAAGAGACTTCCACCAGGATGGTGGTGTGGCTGGGAAAGGAAAAAGAAGCCTCAGGTGGGCCATGTGCCCTGGCTCATACCTGTAATCCCAGCACTTTGGGAGGCCAAGGTGGGCAGATCACTTGAGGTCAGGAGTTCAAAACCAGACTGGCCAACACAGTGAAAGCCCTTCCCTACCAAAAATACAAAAATTAGCTGGGTGTGGTGGCGGGCACCTCTAATCCCAGCTACTCCAGAGGCTGAGACAGGAGAATGGCTTGAGCCCAGGAGGCAGAGGTTGCAGTGAGCCAAGATCACGCCACTGCACTCCAGCCTGGGTGACTGAGTGAGACTCCATCTCAAAAAATAAAAATAAAAAAAGAAGCTTCAGGTGATGTTGCAGAATTTCTTCCAGGGCTCCCTGATGGGCAGGCAAGATTCCCCAGGAAATGTGCCCTCCTTTCATTTTCCTGGCTGGTTCCACAAGCCTGGGCCACCACCCTGAGCTTGGGATGAGGCATTCCCACAGGCAGGGGTGCTTGAGAGGGCCCTGGGAGCTTCCCTCTGGGGAGGAGGGGGCCCACCCCTTCCCAGTAGCCCTCTGAGTCCCCCCAGTGCTCGGCCACAGCCTCCGCCTGGAGAAAGTATCCCCCTTGGAGATACATGGACATCAGAAGAAACCTTTCCTTGTTGCCAGGACAAACCCTGTTCTTATTAGAACCAAGGCCAGTTTTCCTAATGCACGCAGGGAGGACCGCACAGATCGATGAAACCTGCAGATAATCCACAAGGCTCGTTTCCCAGAGCTGGGAAATTTCCTTCCCTGCCAACACTTTTCCTGAAAGTTCTTCAGAATGAGTCAAACAGTTTAAGTCTGTCTTGCACTCTTCTGTTAGTGAAAGAGTTCAATGAGGAAAGAGAGGAAGTGGAGCAGATGCTTAGTGTCCAAGCTGGAAAAGTGGCCCGTGGTTAACCAAGAGTAGATGTAAAAGCACAGGTGGCCGCGGGTTACCAGGTGGGCCGGTCCTACTGACAGTGCGGCTGCTAATGCCAGCAGATGCTCCTCTCCTCTGCCTTCAACGACTGATTTCTTCTGGCCTTTCATTCATTAAAATAAAATGGACAGAGCATCACCCGAGAAGCCCTGCACTTTCCCTTACCTGGATGTCGGACTCTGTAGGTTCTGCCGAGATTTGAGCCTCATGGTGAACACGTTCTTGGCGTGCACGTTGCTGAGGGCTGCGAAGGACACAGAGACAGTGAAATGGCAAAGTGGCTCTGGAGCGTGGGTGGCGGAAGCCCCCACATGTCTGAGTCAGTGACACCTGGACACTACCCTTGGGGCATGCTGCTGAGGTGGCCGTTGGGGTTTTCTTTACTTTCCTTTTATTCCACTGTTTCTGAATCACAAATAAAGATCCTTGGTCTCATACAGGGCAGCTGTGTTGCTTCCAGGTGTTGCGAAATTCAATTTAGTTACCTAAAATGAAAAGCCCCAGACATCTCCATGGCTTGGGACCCACAGGAGAGCATCGTTGACATTGGAGAAATCTTAAATATGTAGAAACCTGCAGGACTATCTTAGTCAGGGCACAGGGCACAGCACCCCGGGGTGCAGAGCGGAGAGTTCACCACTATAGCCTGGAATCGCCTCTGCGACGCCTTCTTCACGACCCTTGGCTGCCTTTGCGGCTGGAAGGGGGGGCTCAGACCCCAACACGGCCACAGGCTAGCAACGTGCTTCACCTCCCTGAACTGCAATTTCTCCTTCTGTGCCTTTCTCCCAGGAGGAGTGTCCAGGCTCACTTAGTCCCTGTGGGCCAGGAGCCCCGCACAGTGCCCGGCACACAGTAGGCCCTCGGCAGATGCTGTCCCCTTCTCTCTCCACCACCCTCCTGGGGTTCCCTCCTGAAACAGCCTCCCTCAGCACCTTGAGTCTTGCACCCTAACAGGCTCTTGCATGCAGTGAGAGGGAGGCGCCCAGGCCAGCTGTCTCTGTTCAGAAGGAGACCCGGGGGTCTCCTTGACAGTGGGCTCAGGGCTCAGACCCCAACACAAACAAGCCCCGTGTGCTGCCGAGAAGCAGGTACCTTTGCTGAGGTCCAAAGGCTGTGAGTCCTGCACGAGCCTGTAGTGGTGTGGGTCCCAGGTCACACTGGAGGTGTAGAGCTTGGGGATCTGAATGTGCTGTTTGCCTCGGACATCAAATGTCTCACAGGCTGCCTGGAAGAAGGTGGAGCAGACTGGAGTTAATGGTCAGCAGCAGCAGCATCCGCACCACCGGGGCTACCACTTTTTAGGCCCTTACCATGGACCAAACACTGAGCCGTGGGCTTCATGTAAGTTCTAAGCACACTTACCTAATAGGGTGACAGCAAGGACTCAAAGAGGTGCCTGGGCTTGGCACATAGTAGCTATTGCTACTATTATAAATATTGCTTTGTTTTTGTTTTGAGACAGGGTCTCACTGTGTCACCCAGGCTGGAGTACAGTGGTGCCATCATAGCTCACTGAAGCCTCAGCCTCCCCGTGTTCACGCAATCCTTCCACCTCAGCCTCCTGAGTAGCTGAGACTACAGGTGTGCACCACCAAGCCCAGTCAACTTTCTGTATTTTCAGTAGACACTGGTTTTGCCATGTTGCCCAGGCTGGTTTCAAATTCTGGGACTCAAGTGATCTGTCCACCTCAGCCTCCCAAAGGGCTGGGATTACAGGCAGGCGCCACTGTGCCCCGCCATTATGAATGCCAATGTTGACATCATCTTGTTGTATCCTCATGCCCACACTGGGAGAGGTCTGATTGTCCCCTTTTCGTGTTGTGAAACCACATGGAGGAGGCCCGGGCTTTGGAACCAAGCCTGCCCCGACGCACACTGTTGCTCCTAAGCACCACTGCTGAGTGATGCACTGCATGAGTGACGAGTTACCTAAATTACTGGAGCCAACCATTGCAATAAAGAGCTGTGGAGATACTGAGTGGATCCAAAGTGCATCCGCCACTGTGTGGTGCCTGTGCCCAGGCTCTCTATGGCCGAACAGACACAGTAGTTAAGAGGTGACCTAGGTAGTCAGTGGGGGAAAGATGTTAAACTAGAAGCTCCCTAAGGGCAGGGGGGGATCTGTGCCTCCTCTTCCAGAGTGGTGTGCACAGGTTGGAGCTCTTCTGGGGGGCTGAGGGAGAGCAGCAGTGACCTGCGCCCTCAGGCCCGTGGCCCTGGCCCATGTCTGGGACCACATCTACAGGACCAGGGGCAGAGGTCATGCACCCAGGATGCCCAGCACAGATGTCCTAGGCATGAATGCTCCCTGTCATGTCCCTGCTGTGGAGCAGCTCTGGCTGGGAACCGACCTTGAAGTTTTGCACGGCCCTGCTGAGGAAGGCGTCCTCCTGCCCACTGAGCTCATCCTCTTCCCACGTCAGGGTGAGCTGAGAGGCCCCCAGGTGGGATAGCTTCTGGTTGAAGTCATAAGCAAAGGCGCAGAACTGAGGGTACCTGCTGGAGCTGAGGACAAACACGGCATACCTGCCCGAGGACACACACAGATTCATGTCCCATGCAAGCAGCACCTGGCACCCAGCACCTAGCACCAACAGCCTGGAGGGCCAGCCCCAGACTCTCCCCCTCCAGCTGGAGCATGGAGTTGCAGCCCCTTCCAGTCCTCCCAACCCCCCAGCCTTGTCACCAACTCCTATGACCACCCCATGCTTGGCCTGAAGACCTGTGAGAGGGACTGGGTTTCCGTGGCTTGACCCGTGACACACTCCGAGGGCAAACCTCTGAGCCAGGGTCCCTCTGTGCCTGGTCAGCTCTGAGAAGACCCCGTGTCTACACCCAGTTCCTTCCCCTGAGCCAGATTTTGGGTCCTCAGGGCAGGGTTAGAAGGTATAGGAGGAGGAGGGAAAAAGCTTTACCTGAATTTGTTGGTGAGCTCTTTCAGCATGAAGAGGGATTTCTTCAGTTTCTAGAAACAGAGGAAATGACAGAGTTCTCAGGCCAGGATGAATAAAAACACTGTTTTTTCCTTTCCTTGGGAAACCTGGCCACAGCAGGCAGGAGAAGGTTCACGGCCCACAGTGGAAGTTGGTTTATGTGTGGGGCCACCTGGCCAAGGACCTGGTTGTCAGCTGACAAGTTTAGCTTGTCTCTCACTTCAGCTAAACTGTAGCAACTCGTGTGGGCCCTGCCCCTTGGTGGGAGACACAGAACAGCCTGGCCTCCTCCCATCCAGCCCTGGCAGAGGGGGCCTGCCTTATAGCAGGGCATCTCCAGAGGGCCTCCTAATGGGCCGTGATTCTCTTCTGGTTTGGAACCTGGTAGAAGCAACAGCAATTGGTCCTATAGTCTCTGAAATCAGGCGGGCTCTCCAGGAACCCAAGACGATCCCAGGAGGTGTGTGACCCAGCAGAACTAGCGTCAAATCCCATGGTGAGTATTTACTCCCTTTTCATAATTTATTTTTTAGTTCTTCCCCTTCAATTGCATTTTCATTCTTCTGAGCACTGGAGAGACAGTCTCGAATTGGTGCTAATAGACCTTTAATACCTCTCTCATTGCCTATCACTCTTTAAAAAACAAAGAAAGAGCAGGCCTTGGTCAGTGAATAGTATCTAGCTAAAATTCATTAACTTCATTTTGTTTTTATTGAATTTGTGTTTTGCTGCCTTCTATTTGTGAGAGTGATACAAGTTTCCTTTAAATGTGAATTTGTAAATACAAACAGGTAGGTCATTCACAGAAATATATTAAATATATCATAGGAAAGGTGGCCCTCCCATATGGCAATAATTATGATGGAGGCCAGCAAATGACCTGAGTGACCCAGATGGCCTGAGCACTGACTCCCAAATGCCCTCTGTAGGACGTGCTGCATTCCCCAGACCCTTTCCTTGGTCCTCCCACACCCTACCATCCCCTAGACCAACCAAACCTCAGGCCACCCACCTCTCCATTGCTGGCGCAGTCTCCATTCCCAGATGTGCTGGTCACCACCAACAACAGCTATGCCTCGTCCAGGCAGCTCCTCCAGCCTGTACTTGTCCATGCAGAGAACCTGGACGGTACCCAGGTGGACATCAGCCCTCAGCTCCCAGTAGATGCTCTGGCCTTCCTCCCACACCTCTCTCAGACCAGGGCTCCTGTGCTCATCTGTCTCTTCCAGTGCCTGGCACAGGTGTGGCATGGAGGAGGTGACTGAACGGATTTGAACACATCATCCTCGATTCTCCTTCCCTGCTCAAGCCCTGAAACTAACCCATCAGGAAGCCCTGGATGCTCTGCCTCTAAAACACTGCCTATCCTATGTCTAAACTCCTCTCATCATGTCCACTGCTATTTGCAATTCTGTGTGTGTGGAAATATTTCCACAAAATTGGAATGAGCAGGTCACAGTGGCACCTGGAGGGAATGGCCGGGGAAATGTGCCCTCGCCTTGCTGTTCTATCCGGGCCCACCCAGCTGAGGATGGGGGACCTGCCACCACCCTCCTGGCAGTTCCGGACTCCTGGGAGCTGGCAGGGGAGCACCCAAGAGTGTTTTCAGCAACCTAGCTGACCTGGTCATCAGTCAGTCCCACCTTGGCCTAGGCCTCTACGTGGCATAGATCACAGCTCATCCCTTCGTGGCATTACACTGGCCTGTGCCCTGTCCTCAGGGTCACATCCGTCTCCCAGAAGCCGTGCGACCCTGGAAAACCCATCAAACTGTCTAACAGTCAGGTTTCTCCTCTGTGCATTGATAATGACTTTGATGCCTGGTTTGCAGGGTGCTAGGAGGGTAGAGGGAGGTGTACGCTGGAGAGCTCCTTGAGGGCAAGGCCTGGCTCTGTGTCACTCACTGTCAGATTTACAGCCCGGGGCTGGCCCAGCATGTGGCCACTATTCCCTAAGAATTGGATTTGCTTCATCAGTGCTGAAGGCAGGGGATAGAGCTTAGACAGACCCGCTGTGTCCTGTCTCCTTTATCTGCAGCTTACTCATTCTTGCCCCTTTCACATGCACCCTGCAGAGCAGGTGTTCACTGAGCTTCCACAAAATTCACTAGAGCAGCTGATGTATATTGAGGCCTGAGGTCACCTGCCTGGGTCTCTGGAGTCCTCAGGGTCTCCCTGTGGCCCCCGTGGTCTGACACTGAGGACACACCTGTAGTTTGCTGATCCCAGAGGGAGGGGTATGTGCCACCTGGGGTGGGGAAGATGTTGAGGCATGGCAGGTGGCTCCTGGAACTGCCCCCCAGGGTTCAGATAGGCTGGGGGTTTCCTGCCACACACCCTCATCCAGGGCTGTTGGGCCTGGGATACAGCCCCTAGTCAGAACTCAGGTGGGAGGGGCCTTGGCTGTCACCCAGCTCCCTTGCCACTTTACATGGGGACCTGTCTCCACAGTGGGTGACTGGGCCCGGACGTGGGTCACCCTCAGCCCTCCTGGGCTGCTCAGTCCATGCCAGGACTGGCTGTTCCCACACCTGGCTGAACTCTTGGCTCTGGCTCTGGGCCCGGGGTCCCCCCTGTGCCCTCTCCCTGAATGCTCTGGGGGTCAGAGACACTGATTCCCTCGTCTCCCTGGCTCAAGCCTTGTTGTCCTGGCACCCTTGGAGGGGTCTGCAGGAATCAGGGGCCTCTGCTGCTCTCTGAGGCTGTCAGTGCTCACAGGGAGGGGTGGGGGCTCCCACAAATGGGTCTGACTCCTCCAGTGCCTTTGAGGGCCCTGTGAGGGGAAGAGAGGGCCACCGTGGAAAGTGGGAGGGGACTTGTTGGAGGGTCTTGCCCACATGCCCCTCCTGTGTGCACAGCACGTCCAGTACACAGCGCCTGCCCTGAGGACCGGTGGGTCTACTGTACATTCTTAGAGTCCGGGAGGAAGAGGAGGAAGAAAAGGTGAAGAGGAAGGTCCAGGTAGTAGGGTTGGGGGTCCTGGGCACTCCTTCACTATTGACTGCCCCAGAGGGTAACTCGGGTGGGGACCTGGTACTGGAGTCCACCTCGGGGTGGCAGGTCCCCATGCTTCCTTGTTAGTTTCTTCATAGAAGTCCGAAGGTGTTTCAGAACAGGATCATCGTCCAGGGCCCAGGTATGAAATAACTGGTCCTGAAAACCTGCCCACAGGCCAGACCTGGACGTCTTCATGAGGCGATCTAGAGACAAGGTGGGCATAAGGCCAGAAGAGTTCCCTGGGAGAGGTCAGAGCCCACAACCCATGGCCACTTCGGTCTCCCACTGGGCAATGCCGGATCCTTTCGTGGCCACTCCAGGGGTCCAGATATATACAGAAGGCTGTGGCTAGGGGGGTAGCCTGGGCAAAAAAGTGCTCACCACACTCCCGACTTTCATCTGCATCATGTAGGGAATGGGCTTGGTGTCATTGTGCACTGCTCCAGCCCTCCCGGACAGACCTCCCTCTGGGCCAGAACAGAGGATCATGAGGACAGTGTGAGGAAGCTGCCCTCGGGACAGTCAGGGTCTGACCCTAGTGCTCCCCAGGCCCCACTGGCCACACGTGGACTTACTCCTCTGAACCTTAAAGGCAATGCTTGTTATTGCCATCAACACCTGTTCCCCTTCCAGCAAATACATGTCCCACAGGTGCAGGGTGAGCCCAAGAGAGATCTGTGGGGACAGCAGGCACGGGAGAACCTGGCCCTTCCAGGCCGCGGCTGGTGGCTCAAGCTGCGCCCATTGGGGCTTCAGTCCTCAGAGTCAGTGACCTTCCCCATGAGGGTCACCTGACCCCTCCAGGACACTGGGTCAGACAAGGTCTTGCAGCTCCTCATGGCGGGCACTCATTTCAGTGGGGAGGTGGCTTCTGGAGAGAGGGGCTTGCCCAGGGCTTGATGCTTCCCTGAGAGCTCCTAAGTCAGGTCCTGGCCCAGTCCACCCATGAGCCACTACACCCGGCTTGGGTTTTTAAGATTAAATATATGACTTCAAAAGAAAGTTAGTGCTTGTAGTGGACACTCTCATGTCTCCTGGAAATTGAATTCACTTGTCCTCCATCTGGGTATATGGGTGGACAATTTGGAGAGGTGCTAAGTGAGGATATTCTCTGCCATATTCACCTTTCTCACCAGTTTCTTAGATCCCCTTCTGCTGTAGTTTATTCAATACTCTGCCAAAATGGAATAATCACAGAAAAGTCCTCATTACTCATTAGTGTGAGGTTTTAACCCCATCCATCTATAGACCACTAGATATCTGAAAACCATAAAAAAAAGCAACAACTAAAATGTTTCCATTTATTTCCCCTTACTTCAATGGGTATTCAAACTAACTCTTCAGAAATAAGTTAGCTATAGCCAGGCACAGACACTCATGCCTGTAATCCTAGCACTTTGGGAGTTGGAGTTTGGTGAATTGCCTGAGCTCAGGGGTTCGAGACCAGCCTGGGCCAAAAACCCCGTCTCCACTAAAAATACAAAAAATTTGTATTGGTGGCACAGGCCTGTGGTCCCAGCTACTCAGGAGGCTGAGGCAGGACCTCCTGAGGCAAGAGGGTCAGAGGTTTTAGTGAACCAAGATCATGCCACTGCACTCAGTCTGGGTGACAGAGCAAGACCTGTCTCCAAAAAAAAAAAAAAAAAAAGAGAAAGAAAGAAAGCAGTTAACTAGTAGTAGGGGGAATATCCTGTGGTAACATCTGTACTTATCAAAAGATAAAGAAAAAGACAAGAAAAACGCTGTCTCTACTAATAATTTAAAAATTACTGGACATGCTGGCACACACCTGTAATCCCAGCTACCTGAGAGGCTGAGTCACAAGAATCCCTTAAACCTAGAAGGTTGAGGTTTCAGTGAGCTGAGATCGTGCCAATGCACTCCAGCCTGGGTGACAGAGAAAGGTTTTGTCTCAACAACAACAACAACAAAAATTACTAGCATGTCAAATAAATTACATAGATTGCATTGCTTTGGGCTGGCCTTTATTTAGCAAGTAAACAGAATGAGGAATGTTCTTTCTATGCATTTCCTATGTTCTTTGTGCTTCATGAACTAATACTTCTGTTACTCCTTTAAGGAAAAACATTTCCTAAGAAATCAGCAGGTCACAGGAGGGTCAGAGGTTTTAGTGAAACGAGATCATGCCACTGCACTCAGTCTAGCTGACAGAGCAAGACTTGCAACTGGCTTTGTAGAATTACTTCAGCCTAACCCTCTTTTTAAATAAGAAACCTAAGGCCATGAGGATCAGGACTGGATGTGTATTCTAAAGCATCTTGTTTGATGCCTAGGTTGGAAGAATGTCACTATGAGTCAACTAAGCAATAACTAGAATATTATTTATTCCAGCAAGTTTTCTCTTAACTCTGTAGTTTCAGAACCTCAAGGTCTGTGAATCATTACCCATCTATAAGATGAATCAAATTTAACTAAATGCTAGTATTGTGAAGAGTTAGTTTTTTTCCATTTCTGTTTACTTTTATACTATCCTGATAAACATATGAATATAATGAGTATGGAATAACCAGTAGTAGAGATTGCTCTCGCCTTCATTCATTCATTTGACCAATATTTAATGAGCATCTACTATGTGCTGGGCTCTGTACTAGGTGCTAAGCATATATGTGTGAATAAGACAGAGGCTGTTTTTTCTCCCCTCATGGAGCTTCAATTCTATTGGCCTATCGTTCTTTCTCATATATTTGGGAAGGGAAGATTTATATTAGTAGTCTACAGAGCATCCATTTAATCTTTTTTTTTTTTTGCCACACCCAGGCACTGTCACAGGGCAGGACAAAGTCTTCAGTAAAATTGGAGAGCGTAGTCATTGCCTGGGCATTTATCTGTGTCCAGTATAACTCAGGTCTGTATTGAGCTGCTCATATGCTAATACATTCCACCTGATTAAGGTTCGTGGTGTTTTAGAAAAGGCAAAAGAAACGCTCCGGACAGGCAGGTTCAGAACCTGTCAAACACAAATTTCACTTGTAAAAATAGATTTCTCACTATTCAGATTTGAAAAGGCAATTTAATACAATTTTACCAAACAAAAAGATGATTGCATATTATAAGTGGAAATGTAGAAGATTAGTACCAAAGCATGTAGGACATGGCTATATATGTTGGATTTAAAGCCAGTTCCTGAGTATTCAGTAGCTTGTTAGCCAATCTATGGATTTTTTTTTTTTTTTTTTTTTTTTGAGGGAGTCTCACTCTGTTGCCCAGACTGGAGTGCAGTGGTGCGATCTCGGCTCATGACAACCTCCTGAGGTTCAAGCAATTCTTCTGCCTCAGGCTCCCGAGTAGCTGGGACTACAGGCATGGGCCACCATGACTGGCTAATTTTTGTGTTTTTAGTAGAGATGGGCTTTCACCATATTGGCCATGCTGGTCTTGAACTCCTGACCTTGTGATCTGCCCGCCTCAGCCTCCCAATGTGCTGGGATTACAGGCGTGAGCCACCGCACCCGGCTAATCTGTGGATCATTTAAAACTCAATTTTATTTCCTCTTGGTAACAGTCAAGGAAAGAAGAGAGAACTTAATTTTGAAGATGAAGGAAACATAATTCCTTTGGGGTGAAAATTTAAAAGGTTGTTTCTCACAGACCCTATAACATAATCCATAATTCCTTTTATGGCACCTATTAATTACCTTATTATTTTAAGTAGGTTTTAAAGGACTCTATTTGAGTAATGGGTTTCCTTTAACTGAACTTCTTTTTAGTTCTGATCTAATACCCCTTTTAAATGGATCAAGCCAAGACAGAACTGAACAACTTTTGGCAAGGGTAAGAGATTTCTGTTAAATGGCTATTTTGCAAATAACTGTGTACTTCTTAGATAGGATCCTGGATTATATTAAGACAGACATGTTTAATGAAATTATGCATTCCATTCAAGATGTGTGCCTCTCCAGGCCACCTGAATTTTGATGACAGCCATTCTCAGGTCATGTGGTGTTAGTTTGGTCTTTATGGATTATGTGGGTGAAATGTTAAATTCTTACTTGCCTTCTTTTTTTTTTTTTTTTTTTTTTTTTTTTTTTTTTTTTTTTGAGGTGGAATCTTGTTCTGTCACCCTAGCTGGGATGCAGTGGCATGATCTCAGCTCACTGCAACCTCCACCTCCCAAGTTCAAGAGATTTTCCTGCCTCAGTCTCCCAAGTAGCTGGGATTACAGGCACCTGCCACCATGCCCAGCTTATTATTATATTTTTAGTAGAGATGGGGTTTCACCATGTTGGCCAGGCTGGTCTTGCACTCTGACCTCAGATGATTGGCTGGCCTCAGCCTCCCACTTACTTGCTATCTTGTTTGTTTTTTGTTTTGTTTTGTTTTGCTGTCAACCAAAAGGGCATATAGGCAGAAAATTTGCTTTTAGCCGTTTATAGCGCTTTGTAAAATATTTTTATTTTTTCCCCTTTCTAGCTTATGAGGTAAATAATAAAATGGCCGTATATATCAACAGTGCAGATATCCCCTCTTTGACTGCGGCCCTGATGCACACATTATAGACATAGGGACATATTGCAGGTAATATACTGGACTTGAGACTTTTTTGTTATCAAAGGAGTTTTTGTTTTGTTTTGTTTTTTAATTCCTGTATAGGATATGTGCACATGTATTTAAAAGGACAAAGAGTAAAATCCGAGAAATAAATGCCATGCTATAGGGACTTGTTTTACTTTTTTGTTTTTTATTTTTATTTTTTGTCAGCATTATAAAATTCTGAAAATATCTAATAGCTCTTGCTATTTCCTGGCGAAGTTGACTAATATTCATCACTGGGTAATATACTTCCATTCTGGGAGACCTAGCTAGCTAGCTGTAACAGTGAACTAGTCAATGGTCATGTATAGACAGTAACATTGTGGGTTAGAGTGTGCTTTCATCTGGCTTTGAAGATAATATGGAGGGGGAATGATTTACTATACTTACTATATTGTTTGAGAAAACATTAAATGAGTATGCACCAATAAAACTAAATAAACTCTTAAAGATTTATATGGAGGGTATGTTAAAAATATAGTAGTACAGGCCGGGCATGGTGGCTCACACCTGTAATCCCAGCACTTTGGGAGACCGAGGAGGGCAGATCACGAGGTCAGGAGATAGAGACCATGCTGGCTAACACAGTGAAACCCCGTCTCTACTAAAATACACACACACACACACACAAAATTAGTCAGGTATGGTGGCGGGCACCTGTAGTCCCAGCTACTTGGGTGGCTGAGGTAGGAGAATGGCATGAGCCATTGCACTCCAGCCTGGGCGACAGAGCAAGACTCCATTCCCCCTCCCGCCAAAAAACATATATATACACACACATATATATGCGTGTGTGTGTATATATGTATTAGTACAAATAGGAAGACAATTTGTGTGTGCGTGTGTGATAGGGTCTCACTCTGTCACCCAGGCTGGAGTGCAGTAGTGCAATCACAGCTCACTGCAGCTTCAACCTCCCAAGCTCAAGCAATCCTCCTACCTCAGCGTCCTGAGAAGCTGGGACCACAAGCACATGGCACCGCAACTGGCTAATTTTTTAAAAGTTTTTTGCAGACACAGGGCTTTGCCCTGTTGCCCAGGCTGGTCTCTAACTCCTGTGTTCATGAGGTTTTGCTATGTTGCCCAGGCTGGTCTCTAACTCTTGTGCCATCATGCCCAGCTGATCCCACTTTCTGACTTTGACCACTGCATTGAGGGGGATATACTGGCGGTATTGTTATCATTGGGGAAACTAAGGCCAGGGAGCTATGTCTTAGTTTCCAGGGACTGGGACTGTTTCCACAGCTGCTTTCACATAAGCCTTGGTGGCCTGCCAAGCCTCTCAGCAGGAAAGACAGGGATGGCTGTCACCGGCAGGCTCAGGCTCAGCCCCTCAGCTAGGTAGGGGGGCCAGAGGATGCCAGGTAGCACTGACTCCCTGGCCCAGGGCTCACCACTCTCATCCAGGTCCTCCAGGTGCACTGTCTGGTGGGGCACAGGGCTGTCCACCATACACTCCAGGATGCCTTGGACCAGGGCTGGCTGGTTGCCTGGTTCTCCCTAGGCCCCGCACAGGTAGTTCAGGCCTTCGCCGTCTTCACAGGAGAGTTCCACCAGGATGGTGAGGCAGCTGGGGAAGAAAAAAGAAGCCTCAGGTGGGCCGGGCACTGTGGCTCATGCCTGTAATCCCAGCATTGTGGGAGGCTGATGTGAGTGGATCACCTGAGGTCAGGAGTTTAAGACCAGCCTGGCTAATATGGTGAAAACCTGTTATGGCCACTCTTAAGTGGCCATAAACAAGATCTCTGCAGCGCTGTGACAGCTTGGACGGCATGATCTCTGCAGCGCTGTGACATGCTTGTGACGGCTATGATGCTCACGCTGGAGGTTGCTGGTTTACCAGAATGAGGGCAAGGAACCTCTGGCCCACCCAGGGTGGAAAACCGCTCAAGGTGTTCCTAAACCACAAACAATGGCATACAATCTGTGCCTTAAGGACATGTCCCTGCTGCAGATAACAAGCCAGAGCCTGTCCCTTTGTTCTCTGTAAAGAATACTTTTAGTTAATCCATAAACTGCAGAAATAATGTTTATCATGGGCTGTCAATAAATAGGTGGGTCAAACTCTGTTAAAGGCTCTCAGCTCTGAAGGCTGTCCGCCCCTGATCCCACTTAGCACTCTATTTCTTTGTCTGTGTTTTTATTCCTCTAGTGCCACTGGGTTGGGGTCCCCATGACTGAGCTGGCCTTGGCGAGTGGCCTCCAAATGTGGGGCTCGAACCTGGGTTGAAGGGCCACCGGAGTGACGGTTGGAGAACATGGAACTATGCTGGAGGACACCCAAGTGCTCTTAAGCAATCCCCGTGATGAGTAAGAAGGGGAACTCGGAAGCATCAGGGTAACAGTGGGACAAGGGTCCAGCAGGCACAAGGCTTATTTGAGTCTGCTTTGGCAGCTCCTCAGAAAAGGAGGAGTGAAGGTTGGCACTAGCCGACTTCTGCAACTTTTTAGTGCAGTAGAGAAAGAAATACTGCCCCTGGTTTCCGAACCAAGGAACTATGGATGTAGAGGTCTGGGAAAACGTAGGCAGCACACTGAAAAAGGCATATAAGGATGGTGCTGAGGATATTCCCATAACTGCCTGCTCAGTGTGGGCTTTGATTCATTCCACCTTGGAACGTTTTCACACTGATGATAAGGAGAAAGGAGACAAAGAAAAGGGGGAGTGTGATAATGTTGTGGAAAAGATAAAAGAACACATCTGTCAACCGCTTAAAGAGACCCAAGAAGGGGAAGCTTGTCCCTGCCCCTTGGCACCCCCTCAATATCTTGAAGATAGAGAATGGCCCTACCCTCTGGATCTTTCTTTTCCAGAGGACACTGGGTAAAAAGAAGTCACCCCAGTGACTGTTGGAGCAGTGCCCCGAGCAACCACCCTTAGTTCTATTCAGGCAGGAATTCAACAAGCTAGAAGAGAGGGTGATTTAGAGGCTTGGCAGTTCCCTGTCAGGATACACCTCCCACATCAACAGGGGAATGTTATGGCTACATTTGAACCTTTTACCTTTAAATTACTCAAAGAGTTTAAACAGGCTATCCATCAGTATGGACCAGGTTCTCCTTTTGTGATGCATCTGTTAAAGAATGTTGCTACCCCCAGTCAGATGATCCCTTTTAATTGGGACATTCTTACTTAAGCCTGTCTGACTCTGCTCAATTTTTACAGTTTAAGACCTGGTGGGCAGATGAAGCTTCTACTCAAGCTGTCCACAATGCACAAGCTCAACCTCCAAGTAATATAACTGCAGACCAATTTTTGGGAGTCGGTGACTGGGCTGTGTTAGACGCACAAGTGGTCATGCAGGATGATGCTATAGATCAGCTTAGAGGAGTGTGCATTAGAGCTTGGGAAAAAAATCTCTTCAGGTGGAGAACAATATCCTTCTTTTAGTGCTGTTAAGCAGGGGCTGAAAGAACCTTATGCAGATTTTATAGCTCAGTTACAGGAATCTTAAAAAGGTGATTGCTGATTCGGCTGTTCAGGATATAGTGTTGCAGTTATTAGCTTTTGACAATGCTAATCCCGAGTGCCAGACTGCTCTGTGACCTATTAGAGGGAAAGCACATTTGGTTGTTTATATCAAGGCCTTTGACGATATCGAAGGTAATCTACATAAAGCTACTCTGTTGGCACAAGCCATGGCAGGACTGAGAGTGGGTAAAGGAAATGCTCTGTTTCCTGGAGCTTATTTCAACTGTGGGAAACATGGGCATATGAAGAGAGAATGTAGAAAAAATCAGAGGGTTCAACTGCCCATTGTTGGAAAAAAGAAAACTGCTGAACCAGGTCTATGCCCAAAGTTTAAGAAAGGAAAGCATTAGACCAATCAGTGTCATTCTAAATTTGATAAGAATGGAAATGTGATTTTGGGAAACACCATGAGGGGCCCATCCCAGGCCCTGTTCCAAACCAGAGCATTCCTGGCTCAGGCCACTCCCTCACCCCTGTACAATGCTTGTCCCCTATCACAGCTGGTAGTGCCACAGTAGATCTGTGTTGCACCAGGGCTGTGAGTCTCCTGCCTGGAGAGCCACTGTAGAAAGTACCAACAGAAGTCTGCAGACCTCTGCCAGGAGGAATGGTAGGACTACTTCTGGGAAGATCTAGTTTAAATTTAAAAGGAGGGCAGGTTCATACAGGAGTAATTGACTCAGATTGTAATGGGGAAATTCAAATCATTATCTCTACCTCTGTTCCTTGGAAGGCAGAACTGGGAAAGCATATAGTGCAGCTTCTGATTTTACCATATGTGAGACTAGGAAAAAGTGAAACTAAAAGAACAGGGGGATTTGGCAGTACAAATAAATAAGGGAAAGCCACCTACTGGGTAAATCAAACTACTGATAAGTGTCCTACCTGTGAAATAACTATTTAGGGAAAGAAATTTAAATGTTTGGTAAATACGGGAGCAGACATTTCAGTTGTTTCTCTACAGCACTGGCTGTCCATATGGTCAATTCAACCCACTCAATTCAACATAGTTGCTAAAGCCCCTGAAGTATATCAAAGTAGTTATATTTTGCATTGTGAAGGGCCTAATGGACAACCTGGAACTATTCAACCAATTATAACTTCTGTACCTATAAATTTATGGGGGAGAGATTTATTACAACAGTGGGGAGCACAAGTTCTAATTCCAGAACAATTATACAGCCCTCAAAGTCAACATATGATGAATGAAATAGGGTATGTCCCTGGTTTGGGACTAGGAAAAAATTCGCAAGGTTTGAAGGAACCACTTCAAGTGGAAAAACAAAGTTTCCGCCAAGGCTTAGGATACCATTTTTGATGGCGGCCATTGTTAAGCCTCCAGAGCCTATCTCATTAAAATGGCTGACAGACAAGCCAATATGGCTAGAACAGTGGTCACTGAATAAAGAGAAACTGGAGGCTTTAAATGAACTAGTTAAAGAACAGCTTTAAAAAGGACATATAGCTCCAACGATCTTCTCTTGGAATTCCCCAGTTTTTGTAATTAAGAAAAAATCAGGTAAATGGAGACTGTTAACTGACTTAAGGGCCATTAATTCAGTTATACAACCTATGGGGGCATTATAGCCAGGACTGCCTTTTCCTGCTATGATTCCAAAAAAAATGGCCTTTAATAGTCATAGATTTAAAAGACGGTTTCTTTACTATCCCCTTAGCTGAGCCAGACTGTGAACAGTTTGCATTTATGATTCCTGTGGTAAACAACCTGCAGCCTGCTAAGCATTTTCATTGGAAAATGTTGCCACAAGGCATGTTAAACAGTCCAACCATTTGCCAGACTTATGTAGGGCAAGCAATTGAACCTACTCATAAAATATTTTCACAGTGTTATGCTATTCATTATATGGATGATATAGTTTGTGCTGCCCCCACTGGAGAAATATTACTCCAATGTTATGATCATTTGCAAAATTCAATTTCTCATGCCAGTTTAATTATAGGTCCTGACAAAATTCAGACTACTATTCCTTACTGCTACTTGGGGACCTTAGTAAATGACACTACAACAGTGCCACAGAAAGTAACCATACATAGGGATCAATTGAAAATGGTGAACGACTTTCAAAAATTACTGGAGGACAATAATTGGATATGGCCTGTTCTAGACATTTCTACTTATGCCATGAGTAATCGGTTTTCTATCCTTACAGGAGACCCTAGTCTCACAAGCCCTCAGCAATTAACAAAAGAAGCTGAGGCAGAGCTGTAGCTAATCGAAAAGCAAGTCCATAAGGTCCAAACAAATAGAATAGATCCAGAGAAGACTCTAGATTTGCTAATTTTTTCAACTCAGCATTCACCTACTGGTGTTATTGTTCAAGAGCAAGATCTTATAGAGTGGCTTTTTCTTCCACATCTTAATTCACGGACTTTGACTCCTTGTTTGGATCAAATCATACTATGATAGGAAATGGGAGAACTCGGATTGTTAAATTACATGGATATGGTCCTGGGAAAGTTATTGTCCCTCTCACGAAGGCACAAAAACAGCAAATACAGCAAGCTGTTATAGTGTCTTACTTGGCAAATCCATTTAGCTGACTTTGTGAGTATTCTCGATAACCATTTTCCTAACACAAAACTGTTTCAATTTTTGAAATTAACTAATTGGATTCTCCCTAAAATAACTACATTCAAACCAATTGAAGGTGCTGAGAATGTCTTCACAGATGGGTCTAGTAATGGTAAAGCCTCTTATTCTGGATCAAAAGGTAAAGTTTTTCAGATGCCCTGTACTTCAGTTCAAAAAGCAGAGCTTGTAGCTGTAATTGAGGTATTGACTGCTTTTAATATGCCTATTAATGTGATTTCTGATTCTTCATATGTGGTTCATTCTACACAGTTAGTTGAAAATGCTCAGCTATGAATCCACACAGATGAGCAACTGAAGACTTTATTTACCCAATTGAAAACAGCAGGTAGGAGTTGAATGCACCCTTTTTACATCACTCACATTAGGGCTCATACACCTCTTCCAAGACCTTTGACTGCAAGGAATCAAATGGCTGATCACCTAGTTGCTACTGTAATATCTAATGCTAGACACTTTCACAATTTAATCCATGTTGATGCCTCTGGTCTCAAACACAGATACAGCGTTACCTGGAAAGAAGCTAAAGCTATTATCCAGTGATGCCCAACTTGCCAAATGGTGCATTCCTCATTTTTACAGGAGGAATTAATCCTCGAGGATTGGAACCTAATTCTCTTTGGCAAAAGGATATCACACATGTTCCCTTGTTTGGGAGACTAGCTTATGTACATGTATGTGTGGACACCTT